GCACGGGTATACGTGGAGCGTACAGACGCACAGCACGGCCCAGGCCTCAGGCAATCGTTCTGCCGCAGAACGCTGCGATAATGGAGTGTCGGGATGATTGCGTACGGCGATGCGATATCGGACAAATGGGTGTTGTTTGGAGAGAGGCAGGATCCGTGTCATTATTTATCCCAGGCACATGTAATATTGGCGTGGATGAGGGACTCCGCGCGGGTTCTTCTGTGCCGCTCCATGAATGTCGTGAACAATTGTTTTCAAAGCACTGGAAACAGAGTGTGAAGGAAAATGTCCAATATTTTTATTTTATTTTAAGATGTTTTGACCACGTCATCACTGAGTTATACAGCCGTGGATATTTTGCATGGCGAGTCTCGGTAGTCCTGTGACTGGCATGAAATGCTGACGAGGGAAATGCTGGATGCGCTGAGAAATTGATTACGTTGTGGAAAGTATACATATATATATATATATATATATATATATATATATATATATATATATATATATATATATATGTGTGTGTGTGTGTGTGTGTGTGTGTGTGTGTGTGTGTGTGTGTGTGTGTGTGTATGTGTGTGTGTGTGTGTGTGTGTGTATGTGTGTGTGTGTGTGTGTGTATGTGTGTGTGTGTGTGTGTGTGTGTGTGTGTGTGTGTGTGTGCGGCGTACGTGCGTGCGGCGTACGTGCGTGCGTGTGACCGGTTGTCGTGCATGGGCCGACGGTGAAGCTTGACGTGAAGCTCAATGCAAAACTGCATTACTGTTATGCTCAATAGTGATGCAGTTTTCTCTTTCTTAGCATTTTCGTGACTCTTAAAACGCAGAATTTTGAAAAGAATCTTGAGAGAAAAACGACCAGTTTGAGTTTCTCGTAGTATTGGTGAAGCCTTGGAACCCCTATAATATCATTATACCGCACAAATGTCCTCAGGTACGGGCTTTGTATATATTTACCGTTTCATCGCGGTAAGCAACTTAAGGTGTGGCTTAGTGTAAGTACGTTGTATAAGCAAGCATTCGTGCAAAAGCCTCCCTTGTGTCCGGGATGCCTGATGCACGTTGGTATCTTCGTGTGTGACAAGCAGCTCATCCCGTGCGAGCTGTGAGCTGAAGCGGAGCAGAAACAGCTGCCATCTCCATACTCCTACAAAATTTAACGTTAACTCTAAGGTGTTGGGTTTTACGGTTCAATACTCTGTGCAGTTGGACGGAGTTCCGTAGCGAAACGCAAGCCTTCCCATCCTCCAAGTCCGGGCGACTGAGATCCATCAGAGGTGTTTGTCTTGTTGGTGGCGAGCGCTCAAGAGTTGCGGGAATGCCTGGCGGCACGTGCTGTGAATGCATGAGCCATTACCGGTGAACGCTGGGACGTACCGGCCCGGGGTCCCATCCATTGGCCGCGACAGGCGGGCACAATTGGGCGTGCTCCCCGAGGTGTTCTCTTAGCGGGAGCATCAGACACGAATAACAGGACAGGCGGCAAACGCCACGCTTGGGTCTGATGTATCACCTGTCGTACTCCGAGTAGCTTAGTGCAGGCGAACACGCTGCATTAGCGGTTAACGCTCGTGAGAGAGACCAGGGCCGATGATTCCAATGCAATTTAAATGCACGTTTGTGGAATATGACCATATTATTTTCTAATTAAGCTTTTCACTTATGAGTAGACAATGTATAATTATGCGCCTCCTCTTTGTTTTCAACGGTACGCAATTACTTTTAACAAAATCCACCGCTTGAATGATACTTATACAGAAGCATGCAAATAGACAGCTGTACGTGTGTAATTATTGCAAACAGTCTAAAAAACACAGACTCCTCGCTATGGGCCGATCGCAGCGCACCAAACCGGACGTACTGCAAGTTCTCAACGATCAAGAGCGTGTGACAGCAATCTGTGTGGTTCGTTTGACCGCCGTGTTAGGACTATTTTAGCGTCGTGTGCCGAACGTTAATTCAAGCGATCGTTTCACATCTAGATACGGTTTTGAACTGAAGTAGCCAATGCCTTGCATGAAGAGATCCCACAAACTTAGGCTCATTAAGCAGGCTAATCACAACTTTAACGCAAGTTTAAAACATCCAACTCCTAAACTTGACCACATTTTGTCTACCGGAAAATTAACACTTGAGCAAGTAACTTAGAAACGTATCACGTGATCAGAAATGACAACGCTAGCAACCAATGGTCTGACCGTCCAGTGCCGTCGTTGGTCAGTGATTGGTTGGCTGGGGCGCCGTTCATAATGTGACGCAACGCGTCCCAACTTTTTTTTGCAAAATGGCAAAAATTACCATGCTTCTAGTTTTGACTGACAATTGCACATAGCATTATCATTATCACGCGCACGCTACATAGTCACATAATGCCCTTGCTTGGCGGCCCTTGAATGTAAAAATGCTCTTTAAATGCCGTCATCACTTTGCGATCTGTCAAGATCCTTCAGCGCCATGTTGTGTCTATCTCCTGACTATTTTATGTAAGCTATAACGACTCAAGTTATTAAACAGCTATACTATCATGTCGGGTTTGACAAGAAGAGCAATACCGTGCACACTGAGGGTTCGACGATCTTTCCTTTAAGAATCATGTCACGGCGACCACATCTCGATGCATCCGTCTGAGTCATGATGACGTCTTTCGCACCCTCCGGACACCCTGAACTAGCAGAGGTGTTGGCATGACCACTAGGGTGACTGCGGGCCTTTATGTTCAAGATTGCAGTCGCCGTAGCCGTCCGTCGCTTAGGAAGGGATTGCGCCTAAGGTATTAGACTGCACCGCAATGCCGGTAACTGCAACGTCAATACTATTCGCTGTCCTGAGCGACACATGTGCAGTTCCCCATTCTTAAGTGTGCTGGAAGGAGTCCATATAAATGCAAATACTGCATGAGGCGCTCCATAACTGCAACATCTTGATTTAGTCCCAGGACATTTTGGTAGCAAAGGTTTTTATTTGAACGCTGGCATTCTCACAAGCTACGTGGACGTGGGATTTCCTTGTCGTGCAAATTTTTATCTAAGCAGAGTCCACCTTTAAAGTGTAAGGATTTCGGGAACTGAAAAAAATCGTTTTTTCACGTGTGACTCCGTTTTTTAAAGAAACATGACAATGTTTTTGGTAGGCTGAATCTATTTCACATCAAAGACCGACCCCGAGCGGGAACTAGGTTTGCTTGGAAGTTGTGATCAAACACTTTGCGTTAATGTTTTCATGCTGAATACGGGCACTGATAAACGGATGGACTTATACGAGAAGCTTCTTACTTCAGAAGCTTTTTCCTTTGTAAGGGAATAACAGATCCTTTTGGATGACAAGGTCCAATGAAGACCCCCCCCCCCCCTATGTGTCTGTTAGGACCCTGTGTCAGTGTTTCTACGCGTCTGTAACTTGTTGTGACCGATATATATATATATATATATATATATATATATATATATTTCTATATATATATATACATATATATACATATATATTGCTCTGAAATAAATGTTATGTTTTTTGCCTCAAGATGTAAAATCTGGCACCAGAACACTTTGTTTTTGCAGCATCAATAGTCTGGCAACTTTCAATCTGATCTTACAGAACCAAGATGACAAAGAAAAGGGGTGGAAGACCCTAACCAACAGGACCCATTTCATGAAGAAAGAAATCCGAAAAATTAATCCATCACGTTGACCTGACCATCCATTGCATGACCTTAGTGGTAATTTTAATTTCATAGCATTGCATCATCATCTAGCGTGATTATACGCACGAACAAATGCATGAAAAACGGCCTAGAATTGAGCTTAATGAAAGCTAAATGAAAAAATGAGGTATTCTACGACGAATGTGGCATTGATGACGAAACGTGGCGGTCATGACCTCGATACGGGCGTTTTCATTAGCAACTGGTAGAGGTGTGGTCGTTACATCTTCGCAGAATGTGTATACATGTGATTCAGCGACTAAAAACCGCTGCGTCATACGTATGTATTTTGGAAAACCCTTCTGGCAAATATTTTGGACTCACTGATCCGTTGACAGTGCTTGACGTTATCCTCCTTTTAACATCTGATAGTCTCTCTAGAGGATAAGAACACAACTGCCAACGCAAAGACCGGCAGTGGCAACCGATGCTTTAAATGAAAAGGTTGACACGAATTAAGATATCTACGTGTGCCAGCTAGAATGTTAGCGTTTAAGCGAGGGAAGCATGACCCAGAGTTCCTTATGTGTGTGCTTTTCAAAGCCTCACTCATTTATGTCAATAAACACTTAGGTAGATGATGCATTTTGTGGGTATTTGCGCAGCAAGTTTCGATTTGCGCAGAATTTAAAATGCTTCTCAATTCTTAACAACAACGATCGAACTGCCGCAACGATCAAATGACGCTTTACCCCATTAGTCTGTAGTGCTATCTTTAACACGGGATCGGGTGTCCATTTTGGTGAAAAATCACATGAGCTACTTTAACTCAAGGATGACTTATATTGTCTGTGGGAAAAGCGACTGAAAATATAAAGATGCCCAAACGATTTGATTGTACATAATCAGGCGTATATGAGCTCATGCCAGTGGTCCATGTAACGGCAACATTTCATATCTTCAGTCACATTATTTTCCGAAATTTCCAAACCTAAGCCCGTGTTTTTAGTCGAGTCATTTTGCTGGTGGAGCACATGAGCGCGAAAGTCATATGCGTTTTCAGAGCCATTCGACTGTTATTGGGGCGACGCTGCTTTAATTCCTGTGGCGTTCGAAAAGTCATCCTCCTTTAAACATGTTGTTAGTCCCTCTAGAGCATAGGAACACCACTTGCAACGCAAAGACCGGCAACAGGGGCAAGAAAACAGCCGATTGAGGCCGTAGTGATCGCTCGCCACCGAACGTCGCAGAGCAGCGGCGGACCAATCAGCGGCCAGCTCTGCGGTATCTACCGCCCCGCGGTGACCGCGCAGCACGGTGGAACAGCCGGGAGATTCGGACAGTCGCGCCGCTGCGCTGTGCGGTGAGGTGTGGGCACGTGGGTCACAGCGCGTGCTCTGGGGAAGCGCTCGCTCCAGTGAGCGTCCTCCTGCAGCGACTGGGTGTAAAGCGCCCTCCCGGCGGGAGTGCCAACGGAGTCACGTGATTCTAAGAAGTGCAGTTTCGGAGCGAGAGGAGCGAGAGCCGCCACAAGTGCAGGTAATCACCGGGGAAAGGCACCATGTCTCATGTGAGTGGAGTCAAAGCCGTGGGTGCCGCCACCGATCATTCACGCTGCTATTCAAAACCCCGATTTATCATGCCTGTGTTAAGTTCATTCACTTCTAACAGCAGGTGTGAAGGCACGGATGCCGTGCGGCGCGGTACCATGTGATGGAGATTGGAGGCAGAAGGAGAGTGCACGCTCCTTTTTTATTTCAAGGGCTGAACCAACGCACCTGTCTCGAAGCGCTGCATCAGGCTGCTTGTCGAATGCTCATTTTCTACTCGTTATGTGATATCATCACATCCCAACTAAAATGCGTCGCGAGAGAATGCCTCGCTTTTTAGTGCAGAAGACGCTGGTTTTCGTTGTAAATTCATACGCATGTATTGTGCCGATACGACCGCCGGGCTGGAAATTGTGGATATCGTCTTAAATCTTGTCAGCATATCAGGCCTGAGATAGTACGACAGCACAGTCCTCATAATTCAATGCAATTAAAGGACTAATTGTTCCACTGCCATTGAGAATAGTTTGTGTTTCAACTTGAATGGTTCGAAAATCAGTCCAAAGTCTTATTGTTGTTGTTGTTGTTGTTTTGGGTTGTAGGGCGCCATAACTGCTTGGTTATTCAGCTCGCCAGTCCAAAGCTTGCGAATGACGCCTTCACCATGCGGCGCCATAACTGATCGGTTATTCAGCTCCCCAGTCCAAAGCTTGAGAATGACGCCTCCACTATGCGGCGCCATAGCTGCTCGGTTATTCAGCTCCCCAGTCCAAGCTTGAGAATGACGCCTTCACCATGCGGCGCCATAACTGCTTGGTTATTCAGCTCCCCAGTCCAAGCTTGAGAATGACGCCTTCAGCCATGCGGTCCTCCACCTCACGTCTGAGCACACTTATGGGAAGACAATCTCTCCCTGATTACGCGGAACTGTCGCACGACTATGGTCGAACGCGTTAAGGATCTTGGAAATTTTTGCGAAGATAGCCCGGAGTTTACGGTGCGGATTTGTATCCAGGAAACGTGCGCGGTATATTACTTATATAGGTCTACCCACAAACTTTCCAAATTGATCAAATCAAATGTGTTTCTTGTCTTGAATATGTGAAAAGCCGTGTTATGCCCGCTACATTTAGTTGGTATCATTTATTTCGTTAGGAGTTTTCTCGTTACGCTTCGGTGACTGTGCAAAATTTTGGTCTAAGCCCGAGTCCGATGGGAGGCAATAACAATGCGGCGATGCTTCCAGTGTCACAGTGTTGTAGTACGCAGTGTTATGACTTACGTCCCAGAGCAAGACAAAAAGGTGGCCAGTTTGTGGTTGGCCTCGGATCTTCTTGGGTTGAAAAACTGTCTTCGAAAGGAAAATTTCATCGCCATTAAGAGAAAAAGTAAGGAAAAACTATATGCCCTATTTTTACAAAACGTGGAAGTTGGTGGTACGCTGATCTAGTGCCTTTGCATTCGCTGTATCTGCAGAATGCATGAATTTTCTGGTGCTTAGGTCTTCTTATACCCTAAGGATTGGTATAACTGTCCAATTCGATGGCTTTAGCTTCATTATATATTTTACATGAGTAGCAATGAGACACGCTGAGGTTGTTTGTAAAACTCAGTGCAACAGCGCTTACCATGCATGTTGAACGAGCTTAATCAAATGTGATCAACTAGTTTCGATACTTGACCAAAACAGTCACTGAGAAGACGTCCTAAGGTGGATTCTTGGTCGGGCCAGCAAGACGGTTTCCTTTCTTTAGGTTAAAAGTAATGAGTCAAGGAAGTAAGGAAACTTGGATTGCACAACTAATTAAAATTATTGTCATAGACGGTCTGGCGCGTCATGGATGGTTCTGCAGCACGGTTCCGTATATTGTGATCAGTAAGTATAAGTATATGAGCGTACGTTGCTATTCACGATATTGGCACGGTCGCAGTGAGCAGACCAAATGTATGATGAACACAGTGAAAACTGTTGCAGAGATTGGAACGAGTCGTACTGGTGAGGAGGGGGGGGGGGGGGGGGGCAGGTCGCGGGCGGGACGTGCCCCGGCGTGGCGGGAAGGTCAGACAGTCGGGACTACCGTGCGGGTCGTGCCCTGGCGACAGACGCCGGTAGGTCTCAGCCGAGACTGCTGTGCCGCCTGTACCCTTTGAGGAGGGTGCAGCGCGTCAGGGGTCAAGGCTGCGGCTCGGGACGTGCCGCCACGTGCCGCCAGCCTGCCCCGTCGGCCGGAAGTTCTCCCCTCGCCGGCGGGCCGACAGCTCCAGTTACACTCCCCCCCCGCACCGCTGCACCTGGAGCTAGCCCTGCCCCCGGCCCCCAGCAGGCCTTTGTCGGCGGATCTCTGCAGGCAGGGGAATAGATCCGTTCAACACCGGCAATCGCCTGACGGCCACTGACTCATGAGACGGCTTCGTGGCAGATAGCGCGAGACCGTACCAGTCTGGGAATGAAGTAAAAATTGGTCTGACCCCATGATAAGACCAGACTAAGAAAAGAACAACATCGACATCAAGCAAATGTTACCTTTTGTCACATTCGACCCAAAGGAAGTTGATGCGGTAGCACACCAGTCCATCCGAGGCACGAGCGCGAGGCGCCGAGCACTGGACCACCGAACACCTTCGAGGAGGAGGGACAGAGTCTGGCATAGGATCAAATGACGTCATAGCTGTATGTCAAAAGTAATTATTTCTCCTGTTATGCGAGTCTCTTGCCGAGAGGAATGGAAATCATATGGCTTATTTTCAATCATAACCTGTTATGGATTGTTGATTACAGGGTTACATTGCCATACTTAACCTATTTGGAAGGCTTGCCTGTCGCGATTTACGGAAATGCTATGGAAATGATGGACGAGTCATGCTGGCACTTCTCAACCAAAAGCGTTCCCAGTTGAAGTTACTTAGCTTCTTGCCAGTGGGCATTGCCTTCTTGCCTCTCTCTTCGAAGGCAATACATGTGAGTTTTCTTCATTAAAGAGCTGGACAAAGTCTATCTCGGTCATCTATATAAAAGCTACAAACCGGAAAGTATGGTAGTATTCCTTGCCTCTTTTCGCACGCGTGCTCAGCTTTTTCCAGTCAACACGTGCCAACCTCGTAGACAAGAGTTAATGTTTTGCTTCTTGAATCAGTATTGCATACATTTTGTCAGCGAGGGTTGTCAGTAGGGTTTCATCGAATGCATGATGCATACGTATATGTAGCTATACTCTTGGACGGTTGATGTGATCCTTAACTTTGCTCATTTGCCGATGTAAACGAATTGACAGTTAGATATAAAAAGAAAGACACTGCTTAAAGTCAGTGTACATTTTTTTCTGAAATCATAACACGTCTGAAAAAATCAAATGAGCTGCCTGTTAACCTTTTCCTCAGCACTTTATCATAAATACCAAACAATTAGTAGGTATGTGAGCACAGTATTCTTCGGCTCCCTGCTCATCTCTGAGTTCGTTTTCCCGATAAAGGAAACGCGACACGTTTGAGAGGGATCTCAATGATGCTTTGTGGTGAATGCGCAGCACACGTCAGCGCTGAACAATGCACACGACACGAGAGAATACACTTGGTCTTGCATGGCATATTAAAGCTTATTTCTTTTTATTATTTTGCAGCATAAAAGGTGGCAAAACCGTGAAAACGCATTATTAAATTTCACGTAACGCAGCGAACATAACTTCAGGCGGTTATGTTAAACGGTCCGACGAAGGCGTCGCGTGGGTGGCGGCGAGGTTTGGTGTTGCTGACGGCTAGCGGGGCACTTCTCGCCCGCTGAAACGTGAGACGCCATTTTGCGGCTGGATTGTGATGCTTGAAATAATATTTTATCTAATTTTCATCTTATTAGATATCATACAATTTACGGTAATAACAATTAAGTCCTAAACCATAGCGAATAAATGTTTTTACCACTGGCGGATAGAACCAGAGCAAATGTTGCTTACTTGAATATGTTTTTGGTGGTGATGAGCAAGCAGCGGATGAAATTACTCCAGAAAAATGACTCCTTTTATTTCATATGAAAAATAGAAAGCATAGGGAAGAGGCTCAGACAAAACCAGCTGTAGCCCGAAGCGGTCACACCAAATCCTGTAGCACATCGCGCTATCGCACATCGCACGTCACACTTTGTTCTAAAGGATGGCTTTCATATGATGTAAGTTTGCAGGGCCTTAGTTGTATTTATTTAATCCGTATTTATATCATTATGCTATTACTGGCACATGGCTTAGCTTGTGCTATTCATTTAACGTTTGTAAGCTAAGCCTCAAAATGGTATGGATAGCCGCCGTTTAGCCTACAGGGACGGTCTGCCCACAGAAAATAGACCTGTGTTACCCAAGCAGAAGCCAACTTATTAGAAAGCATCATCGCGGCCGTCGTAAAGCCAACCAGACAATATGGTGATAGGCACCGAGCTTACACTGTCAGGCTTATGCTGGTAGACAACGAGCTTACACTGTCAGGGCAGGGCTGGTAGACACTGAGCTTATATTTTCAGGGCACTGCTGGTAGACAACGAGTTTACACTGTCAGGGCAGGGCTGGTAGACACTGAGCTTATATTTTCAGGGCACTGCTGGTAGACAACGAGTTTACACTGTCAGGGCAGGGCTGGCAGACACTGAGGTTATATTGTCAGGTCGCTGCTGGTAGACACTGAGCTTACATTGTTAGGTCACTGCTGGTAGCCACCGAGCTTATACTGGCAGGACACGTCTCTCGCGGAGATGACCGTCAACCGCGCCGGGCATGACGAGCCCGTAAACGCCGTTCTCATTGAAACATGCTTGGCCTCTGCTGGTCCCACATAGCGACGGCAGCGGTTTCGCGACACTTCTGTTGTTTGTCTCCTAAATGTGCCACAAAATGGCTTGCTGCAGAATGTGCTGCGTAGGGAGACCAGAGCCAAAACCCTCGGTCCTCCCTTCGCTTCTCTCTCTCTCTCTCTCTCTCTCTCTCTCCTCTCTCCTCTCTCTCTCTCTCT